ACAACAGAAATGTAAACATTGATGACGCCTTAAACCTAGAATAATGTGGTCTAAGTTTGTAACGATTAGACGCTTAATTTTCAGAGTACGATGAAAATAGTTGTCCATCACACGGAGCAAAAGTGTCTTTTTGGTGTTTAATCGTATTCTCAAGCTTGGCTCTGCATCTCTTGTAACACACGATTATGCACGAAAAAGAACCATTTTCGCTCCTAGGGATGAAAACTACTATTTAATTTTACTGTCCGGAAAAAGCTGTTTTTAGTCCTATAATGTTCCGTAAAATCATTGTTGTTAGGTATCTTCAAATAAGGAACGGAAAAACATAAGTAAATTTGTCAGTTTGCTAACCACAACGTGTTATTAGTACATTATGGAAACGCTGATAATCTCACGATATTTTAATTTATGTCCGTAAACATCCGAAATTTATACATCGATACGGCTTTTTATAACCTAAAATTATGTGGTCTATTTTTTTACAATAAGAAGGTTATTTCCACAGTACGATGAAAATAGTAGTTGTTCATCACACGGAGCGAAAGTGTCGTTTTGGTACTTAACTGTATTTAAAGCTCGGCTGCGCCTCACTTTGTAAAACACATTTGCGTACCAAAAAGAGTCACATTTTCTCCTAGTGATAAAAACTACTATTTCTTCACTCTGTTGTCCATATGAATATACGAATATAGCTCATTTCTTCTCAGCTGAACTATACGAAAATCGTGGATTTTCATTCTATCAAAACATATGATTTTACTATTTTTATGAATTAAACATTATGTTAAATCAAAATTTTTCCTTTTATAAACAAAGTTGTTCCTTTCCCAATCTAAACTTTGCCCTTTCCAAACAAACAAAGTTTCTGTTTAGCTCAACAGTAGCACTAATGTATCTGTTTTTTTATTACAAAAAATAATGATCAACAGCTAACATTTACATAAATTGGAAAACTATGCTATAAATGAACTTTTTGCTATGGCAAGATAGAAGGAAATTACTAAACTGTGGGTATATATTATTTTAATAATTTCATAGTGTGGTTTTTCGCATCGTGAAAAAAGTACCGTTTACTACTCGTTTCGAAAATCCATTCTGGGGCTCGAGAAATGCCTCTACCGTCGGCTTCGCCACGCATTTAATCCACTATAATGACCCGAAATAGATCACTTTTAAGACTAGTAGCGAAATATACTATAACATTATTCATTCATGCCAGAGAGAGGCAATACAATCACTAGCCATCAGAATAAAAATACGAATGTTTACCTTAGTCACGGTTGCGATGACATTCTATTTACTACCATCACAGTAACACTTTTTAAAACGTCCATGTTTGTGTTTATGCCATAGAAATGTTTAAGGTGTTGTAATATATTATATTATATCACATTACCTGGCTCTTACAATTATCTGAAACATCTGTTAAATGTAATGTTTACATTTTTTCTATGATAATAATATACAGTTTTGTTCTAACATTTTACAATGACTTTTATTACTGAAACTAGCTGTGTGCCCGTTCTACGCACGGGGATCTTATAGTAGTCAGTTGAAACCTTCTTATATTAAGATTAAGAACAGCAATTAGTTTGCATATTTGCAGATATGCTGGCAAAACTATTATATATAAACCTTCGCAAATACAGTATCTGACAGTTCAAGCCAAAATAAATGCTTCGCAATTAAATGTCACCCGGATCGTGTTGGTCCATATGTCCAATGATTAAACTTAAAAATGTTTTATAGATCCATGAAGCGTAGCCCTAAAGTAGGCCTATAATTGAAAGTTACTTTCCACATCGGTTAACTTAAACGTATTTAAAGTACTACCTCAACCTCACCATTTAACACTTTACTCCGGTTGACATTTTCAGTATCAAAGGTACTCTTGTCCATTCCGTGAAACACTGAGAAATAAGGACATTAATGCGTTACCAACATACAACAAAACAACACAATACAACAATCCAACAAAGGCCACGAACTATTGATACATAAACAATATAAAGGCGTAAACAATTCATGATGGTTTGCCCAACAAATGTTTTACTCAAATAGGTTATCATTTTCTTAGCATACCGGGTAAGCTAAGATTTGGAATCCAGGCAGAAAAAGCAAAACTTATACAGAGTTAAGACATCACTTAAATTGAATACGGACGGCTCTAATAAATAAGGTGCAACACCAACGATATCTAATTTGTAAACTACCGGTTCCAAGGAAAAGAACCAGTACCTACGTAAGAACCTACCTAAGAATTACAGTAAATCGGACCAATTAAATACATTAATATCTAGTCCCGAGGTTATTGATCTCTTGCTTTTGGATTTTCTCGTAAAAAGTTATAGCGTAAACTTATCGGTGTCAGTTTGAAAAAGAAGCAACCTTACCCAAACAACTTTTTGTTATTTAATAGATTACGCATTCTCTAAACAATGATTAGTATATCTATTAACATTAGAAGGAAATGTGACGAAAATCACACAATGTTGGGGGTTTGGTCATTTGTAATTTTATTTTTTAAGTAGGTAGGCCATGTATTCTATGGAAAAGTACCGGTATCAAGGATCGTCGTCAAAAAGGTTGTTATGAATAAATATGTAGGCTTACGTACCCAAGATATGAGCTATGGGCCTATTGGCTGTATGGTCCAGCGATTGCATCACACGGTGAGTAGAAACAGAAAGTGACACATTGGAAAAGCGAGTTTAGCACTTCCTCTGTTAAACCTCTGTTACAATCACCCACTGCAGTTGTGATTTTTTACTTTACACTTTACACAATCGCCATTGAAGCGCCGTCAATGAGTGGAAACCTTTTTTGTAAGCTATTGGCGACGATCATTTCAGTGTCACAGCCCTAAAAAACACTGATTCAAGGTATTCTTCTTTCTGGTTGTCAAAAATCAAGAAACATTTTATACTCAAAGAATTTCTGGTTCCGATTTGGACGATGTCTAGTTATTTAATTTCATTTACGGTTACACTATTAGACTATATTATTGCACTTGCGATTAATTAAATCCGTTCTGTAAGAAAAACGTTTTTAATCTCACTTGGTTGGGATTTGCTTTCAAAACGTGATTCGAAATAGTTGCGGTATTTGTAAACAACATTTGTAAACATGTCATTGACAGCTATAAAAAATAATCTTGATCCGAACAGCTGTTCGTTATTTCATAGACGATTATGTGATAAAAATTGAACGAAAATTTGACAAAAATCGCACAAAACTGCAATTTTGAACGTCGGTAATTTTATTTACAAAGTAGTGAGGCTATATTTAAATCACTAAAGACACTCTCGCCAATCCAGTGAATACATTAAAATGACTTGGATCTTGATATGTACTCTGGTTTTCACGGAGAAGATTGCGTAAAATGCCATCTTGAGTGTTACAGACAAAGGGACAGACAGACAGACAGAAATTGAGATAAGACTCGTTTCTGCTTCTTTAATGTATAAAACGTAAAAATAACCTAAAAGTATATAATTCTGAGCAATGTACAGACAAAACTCTAATTTTATTTATATAGATATGTTTTAGTGGCGACGAGGACGGGATTTTTAATGACTCGTACACTTTTCTACAGGATAAACATTGAAATTAACATACTATCATGACTGAAGACCTTTCAACAATTTTATCAACGTTTGTTCAACAACAGGCTATGCTTTTGAACAAGTTTAATGAAATCATACAAACCCATGCACAGAATCCAAAACCTTCAACACCCCAGAACGGAATCACATCATTCAATTTTGATTCATTTGATGAAAATCTTGAAGATTTCAATTCATATAGACAACGACTTGAAAATTACTTTCATTTGAAAAACATTACAGGAAACGAAGATGAAGTACAACAAATCAAACAAATCAAAGCAAGAATATTGATCAATTGTATTGGACCAAAACATTATCAGCTACTAGGTAGTCTTGTATCTCCAGACCTACCATCAAACAAAAGCTACGACGAATTGATTAAAATAGCTGAAAAACATTTATGTCCAAAACCCAATGTTTTTGTGCAACAACATACTTTTCTATCACGTGTTCAATGTCCGACAGAGTCCATATCTGAGTTTGTAGCTGCACTAAGAAGACTTACATTCACATGCAATTTCAACTGCCCTTCTTGTGAATCTTCAGTAGTCGATTTGTTTTTACGTGCACAATTCATTCGAGGATTACGAGATGAAACAATCAGTGTAAAGATGCTTCAGCATCCAGAATTGACTTTTGAAGGTGCGTATGAACAGGCTCTGACTCTTGAAGCATCAAAAAAAGGTTGCAAAACATTTCATGAAACTGATTCAATAAATAAAGTTTCTAGAGTTTTTTGTACAAAAAACTATGATTGTAATAACACATCAGCAAAACAAAGTCAAAATAATCGTAAGAAGTTTTATGAGCGCCTTGGAATTGCAGGACTATGTGTGCGTTGTGGTGAGAATAACCACATGGCAAAATCGTGCGACAGGGACATTAACACCTTATTTTGTAGTTTATGCCATAACCATGGTCATATCTCAAAAGTTTGCATATCAACCTTAACAAAATCAAGTCATCGCAAGGTAAATACCATAGTTCAAGAAGACATAGAACATGATGCGTTTTCTATTGGAAGAATCATTCCTGTCTGTATTACCTCCACTACTTCACAAACGGAAAATTTCACGACAACACTGAACATTGAAAATGGTAATCTTACCTTTGAAATCGACACTGGGAGTCCAGTAACTATAATCAATAACAAAGACCTTCAAAAAGTTTGCCCCAACAGAACTCTTCAGCCAACATCGACAACATTTAAAACAGTTACTGGTGAAATCTTTAAACCTCTGGGTGTTGCCAAAGTTGAGGTTTGGTACAGTAACAAATCTACAAACCTGAACTTGTTTGTTGTGGATAACATTATTAAACCATTACTAGGTCGAGATTGGTTACAAAAACTGAAAATTCCCTTAGATTCTCAACTATCCACTTCCACCCTAGCTCCTCCGCCATTTAAGCCTGCTGTAACTTGCTCTTTGCCACCTCCACCACCCTCTGTCAAACCTGTGAGCTACGGCTACTCCGCAGTTCCAGTTCAACTAATAACCTACGAAATGCCATTGATACCAGTAACTTACACACCACCCGCCTCAGCTGTCTTCTACGAGTACTCTTACCCAGCTGTGAAACCTGTAGTGCCGAAATTTCTCAAAACACCGATTGTACCACTGAAACCAGTCCAGTACATGACCACACCCCACTTTGAACATTCTAATCCAACCCCCCTGAAGACTCTCAAGTATTCAAAAACAGTGCCTGCAGTTAGCTATGGATACTTACCTCCGCCCAGTGTGTACTTAACTCCTTCCGCCCCGACAGTGAGCTACAAGTATCCCATTCCAGCTCCAACAGCAGTATCCAACAGTTACAAATCGACCATGTCAATTCTACGACCCCTAGTTGATTTCCCTCCTGTTCAGTTTTTAACTCCCGCTCCTGTTAATTTTGAATAATCTACTCCAGTTCCAGACAAAACCTTCTACTATTCACGACTCCAGTAAGCTATTAAGCTATACACCCGCTCCAATGAAAAAAAAGAAGAAGAAAAACTAAAGTTAACTATCTACACCACACAAGTATCAGTTATGAGTATTCTACTCCAAGACTTCAACCTGTTGTTCTCTTTTTAGAGGGGAAGACTGTAATATATTATATTATATCACATTACCTGGCTCTTACAATTATCTGAAACATCTGTTAAATGTAATGTTTACATTTTTCTATGATAATAATATACAGTTTTGTTCTAACATTTTACAATGACTTTTATTACTGAAATATGTTTTAGGTGTTTTGTAGTTCTAATTGCTATACTCTAAATTGTTATCGTCAACCTTTTATTTAATGGAATCATTGATTGACCACTTGGAACCAAAGTGTGACTTTTAGCCTTGAAGGCGCACACTTTAAACAACATTTTCATACATTTCAGTAAAAACCAACCATTAAACGTGTATTGAGGTTCCAGAATTCAAGTATCCTAAATGTGCCTATTGCTGCAGTTGTGGGGGAAGAAAGAGGTATAGATAATTTACATACTTATAACCACAAACGCTATCCTGAACCTTTGTCACGTGGGTAAATGTTGAATGGTTCCGCTTTATCTACATCGAAATGTTAATACTTTGTGTATGCGTTGTAAGTATAGCTGGTCTGTAACCAGCTTACACCCATTGACACTCAACATCATAACATTGTCATCCCTCATAATAGTCATAATAATAATAATAGTCATAATAGTCAAAACTCTCTGATAACATAGTGTGTATGCCACAGTCGTGGTGGAGGAGGCGGAGGCAGAGCTCGGGGGTGTTGCTACTCTACCCTGTGACCTGACTACACCCATTGACACTCAACATCATAACATTGTCATCAAGGACATATAATAGTCAAAACGCTTTGATAACATAGTGTGTGTCCCACAGTGGTGGTGGAGGAGGTGGAGGCAGAGCTCGGGGGTGTTGCTACTCTATCCTGTAACCTGACTACACCCATTGATACTCAACATCATAACTTTGTCATCAAGGACATAATAGTCAAAACTCTCTGATAACATGGTGTGTATCCAACAGTCGTTGTGGAGGAGGCGGAGGCAGAGCTCGGAGGTGTTGCCACTCTTCCCTGTGACCTGACTACACCCATCACCATGGACTCTCTATCTCTCGTCATCTGGTACAAGGACGATGGAAAATCTCCTATCTACAGGTGCGTTGATCATGAATACCTATATAATCTTTGTCCACATAAATGTACCTTAAGATCAGACATAACATTTACAACACAGCTTTACACTGCAACTATGGTGTTAATATTTACATTTATTGCAGCATTCATTACCAAACATTTGAAAAATGTAATTTTATATTAGTTTGATTAAAAGTCTACCAATAGCCATACCTACAGCCACATAAAGTTAAATTTGTACTTAAGTCATTATTTAAAATGCTAATTCTTAAATGGACGAATGCAGGTAACAAGCGTATAATTAAACTAAATGAAATAAATACTTTCCCATATTTATACTTGACTATCAGAGTACCCGTCCTTCGTACGGGGTTGGAATATAAGTATAAAATGCTTATTGCAGTTATACTCAAGCTTTGCGTTTGCAATAAGGAAGGACACAGTTTGATAAAATTTGCTTTTTTAAATTTACAGTATTCTATAGTATAACACATCTACCATAGCCATAATGTTCTACCACTTCACCTAAACCATATAGAGAAAAATAAATTATCAACAATTCGCAAAATATCACAAATCATTCATTAAATGAAAAACATAAACATAGCTGTAAACAATCCTACTTTGACAGTTCTCATTGCGAATCACAGTTTTTTGTTGCTGCTTAGTTCAAATTAGCTGTTTTCATAAATGCAAAAAAATATAGTGCTGCACCCTGTTGGTAAATATTATAACTTTTTAATGCTTTTCCATAAAATCATAGAACCAACCTTTTTAGTTGAAACAGCTGACTAAATTCTTTAATTCCATTTAAATATGAATACTCATAAGGTTAACATGGGGAATTACAGAGCCACTGGGGCGGAGCCCGAAAGGATTTTTGAGATAAAAATATGCCTATATGTTAATCGGGAATGTAAGCTATCATCATGCCAAATTTCAGCCCAATCCGTCCAGTGGTTTATGCGTGATTGAACTTCAAACACACAAGCAAACATACAAACAAACACACAAACTTTCACATTTATAATATTAGTAAGATAAGATAAGATAAATGGTTTATCATATTTTTTTACCATCCTATATTCTAAAAATACTATGGATTTTTATATAAACATTATTATATAAACAGACGAAACTTTTTGTGTTGTGTGATGTTTTTATTGTACCAGTGAAACAGTTCAACAGATTTGACGGTTTGGTAATATACTAAAATGTTTACGTCACAATGTACTATACCGTATCCTGCCCAAGTGTGTTGACTAAATGTCATGTTTCAGCATGGACGTCAGGGGTCGAGGTCTGGACGAGGCCACACATTGGTCTGAGGACCCTATGTTCAAAGGTCGACTGATTTATAATGTACTATATCGTATCCTGCCCAAGTGTGTTGACAAGTATGTTGTCATGTTTCAGCATGGACGTCAGGGGTCGAGGTCTGGACGAGGCCACGCATTGGTCTGAGGACCCTATGTTCAAAGGTCGACTGATTTATACAGCGGACTACCCAGCCTCTAGTCTCAGTTTACGGTCTCTGACTGAAGCAGACGCTGGTATTTACAAATGCAGAGTAGACTTCAAACATTCCCCAACCAAAAACTACTACGTCAATTTAACAGTTTTAGGTGTGTACTTTGGGTATCTAGAGACCAGAGAAAAGTGTAATTACCTTTCTAATTTCAGGAGTGTTGGACTGATGCACTTAAACAAATATTTTAATCTATATTTAACTTTTCAAAATCATTCATTTAAAGATGCAAAATTTTAAATTCAAATAAGAAAGACCGAGCTGTTCTGGATTATTAAGCCTTTCATCAATGGTCCCCTGGCTAGAGAAACAGCAGTTTTAACAAGATGAAAGGCTAAAACTGTTAACGTAGCCTACTAGCATATACTAAGCGGGAGTATGTTTTATCTATGCTACTAGTGTTTAAACTTATGTGCAATTATTTGCAGCTTCAAATTCTTGCTTCATCAAAAAATCCAGCTTCAAGCTAAGCGTGTGTCACTAATTCAATACTAGGCAAATTTTTACTAAATATTCACTGGATATTCAAAGTTTGTGGTGGTGTGATATCTGAAGTTTTATTCTTACTAAGATGTGCATCAGCTTAATTTAAAATGGTATCTATAAGCTATCACAAAATTTGGCCATATTTTCCTGATGACACTATTAAAATATACTGTCACAGAAACTATCAAAACAAAGTGTAATTTTTGTTTATATTATGTAAACATCGCAAACTGTTAATCTATAACCAAGCATGTTTTATTTACGCATTATAACTGGCACAATGAAAGAAGTAACTGTTTGCCTGGAAACAAAGAAGCTTATCCATTTGTCTGAGTTAACGCTACTTTCAGTTTTATTGTATGTTTCCCCAGTGCAGCATACAGTAGAATACTCTGTAAACAACATCAATCTTCACGACATAGAAGCGTTACTTAATCAAGTGTAGTGTGCGTTGTTCTACTGAATAAGTTACGTAACTAAACGGATATTTGTTCCCAATCATTGATAGATTTTAGTCATAAACAAAAGATATTGCAGATTAAATTTTATTTTACTGGCTTAAAACTGTAATAAAATATATTAAAATGTAAGTTTCAGACATTTAGTAATTTTCAAGAGCTTTGGTGAATTTAATGATAGTTAATTAAACTTAAAACTGAGTTTTCACCATAAACGACAAATAACTAAAATTTCCTCAAAACTCCTTAGAAACAAATTCCCCTTAATAACCAAATGTAAAGAGAAATCATCGCCAAAGAATAATAGCCAAAGAAATAGCTGATATAATTTGTAAGATCAAAGCTGATTTGAGTATACAATTTGATTTTGTTTTAGTCCCACCTAAAAGTCTGGAGCTGTTTGATGGTTTATCAGGGCGGAGGATAGAGAAACCCACGTTTGGACCTGTAGCTGAAGGAACTAATGTAGAGATCGTCTGCACTGCCACCGGAGGTATACAAGTTTTACCCATCAATGTAGAGATGTGTATATTACGTATACATTGTTTTCTAAGATGAATATCAAACTTACGTACACATTACAGGTATTATATATCTTATAATATATATTATACTTATACACATTACAAGTAAGACTAACTATAGTTATTTGTGCAACTAGTGAGAAGAGTGAGGCAATTGTACTTTGAACTCGAGTTGCACATTATACTTTTCCTACAGTTACCATAAAACAAATAAATTGGTGAAGAACATAACCTATTTTTACACAGAAGTGAACTTTTAATATAACATTTAATGTGAAGTGACAAATAAACAGTACAACAGCTGACCAGCTGATTTACAGCCAGTGCTGCCAACGTATTTCGCGCCCAGATGACGTTGCCTGCATATTACGCGCTCACTATTTCGTGCCTTCACGTTGCAAATCTGGAGTGAGACAAAGTAATTAGAGTGAGACAATGTTAACATTGTCTCACTGATGAGCGAATTGGCCACTTTGCTTTCTCAAATCAGTGCGAGAACATGTACATTGTTAGGTAACTGTAGGAAAAATTAATTCTGCCGCGTTTTATTGTTTTAGCAAATTTCGCATAAAGAGAACAAGCTTTTACGTCGCATTACACTGTTTTAACGAACCCCACGCAAGGGTTTAGTCCAGAAAAGGCTGTTTGCCACCAGTTTAATCAAATGGTGTTTCGTTACGTACTACTGTACTTTAATGAGCTGTTTCCAGACACCAGCTGATTTTATTTTTGCAATAAGGTGTTATAAACATAAACATTGCTGCTCTTAAAGGGTACGAGTAGAGATTGTTAGTCCTTAAGTCGGTGAAAATATAAGGATTACTGTAGTACAGTTTTTATTGTCAATTTAGCTTAGTATAGCGTAAAAAATATCGTAGGCTACGTCACTCGTCCATAATGTGTTTGCTGGACTCGTATAGTAATCCCGCACTCGACTCTATGTAAGTTTGTGAGTGTTTCCATTAGGACAATAATTACTCGAGTAAATATTATTCAATTTCAATGGAATTTGGTACAAACATTTAAGTTTCTTTAACGAGTTCACGGACCAGCATGTTTGGACCATAAAAAACAGTGTTTAGTGGGTGTTATGAGTGAAAAATTGGGGTTTATATTTTGCCTTAAAAAATATAAATGTTTGCTATTTATTTCGAAACCAATTTGTATAGCTAAAAAAAGTACATTGAATAGTTGTTGTACACGTAATGGTTACTCAGAAAAAACATTTTAAATGAAAAATTTCCATGTTAATCGTATGAAGAACAAGTAATGTAGTTAGCTTGTTATGGTTATATTATTATCAAATTCCTCTGATTTATTTATTTTAATTATTTTACCAATTCAACAAAATAATCTATGAGGTTCCCTGTATCACCAAACTTTAATACTTAACTGTATTAAACGTAATTAAAACAGAAAATGAGTTTGATATTTTAATGAAAAACGAATCAGATAAATTGTAATCCACTTAGTCTGCAGGATTGATACAGCATATCTGTTGAAAAACTTATTTTTTGTATTTTCCATGTTGCTGTAATAAAAAAGGTGTAAACAAATACATCCAACTATTTTACTATACCGGGTTTGATACGTAGGTATTGAATTAACCCTTTAACCGTATTAATAACTCAAATTAACTAGACTTTAGAAGAAATTCACAAACTAAGTCACGATTGTTTTATATTTAAATAATAGTTTATGTAGGTCAATTACTACTATTACTAAGATTTAACATATAGGATAATGTTTGTAAAGGAACAAATATGCTATTTTTAGTGTTTTTGTTAGAAATTAATATTTGCACTGTTAGTCATTTTCGTTAAATAAAAACGTTATCAAAGTTAACCCATACGAATTGGCTGCAGGGGTTTAGAAAGAAACATTAAATGAACATTTTAATATTACTTGACAGAACTTCTCTTCTGATGTAACCATTTTTGTTTTTTCTGCGACAGATTGAAATGGGACTGGAATCAATTACTTTGCGTCCCAGGGGTATGTCACACGACATCAAGCGACCTTATTTCGATTTAAGAGAAACAAACAATTACAACTTTATCACAGCTAAAACGAGTTAATAAAAGTTTTTACCAATCGCTAGAAAAGTATTTTAATTTCAAGTTTTCTATTAAGGTCAATCTTTCTTGTTGATGGTTAAATTAATAATGTAATATTGTTTATAAATTTTTAATCTTCTTTATAACAAAACATAATCCTTATCCAAGCTTGGTCTCTTAAGGTGGCATTTGTGTGATTTAGCAGGTGTAAAGAGTAGCCGTCGTTTGAAATAGTTTGCAGAAATCCATTAGATACAATAGGAAAGTAAATTACTCAGCTGAATGGAAGTTTGTCCTGAGTACGGACTAATGTAAGGCTTACGAAACGTCGGCCACTATTTTTGTTAGTCCAACGAAGTGGTCATCTCTCGAAAACAAAATATGAAAGTCTGCTATGGCCGTGGAATGGTATCTTTTACTTTTAGTTTGGCATTTCCAAAACATTGGAACTGTGTCATTTTTATAGGTCGTACTAATAGAATAGTTTTTATATGTCGCCACGTAAATGCTGTCCTGTGCAGGCTGGCCCACACCGGCAGTGACGTGGTATCGCCAGGAGGACGTCGTGGACCCTGTGTCGGACGATCAGTCTGATGGACAAGTCAGCAACACTCTGCTGTTGATGGACGTCACCAGAGAACACTACGGGGCGATGTACGAGTGCAGAGCCTCTACTTCACCTAACTTCGCAGCACTCCGGGTCTCAGTTACACTTGACATATTCTGTAAATATATAATCCTTCATAAATTACCAATTCTGTATACATCAATACACACTAACATACATATTCTAAGCTGAATATATATTTAAGGTAAATGTAGAGTAATTTTATGATATAATGGAGAGATAGGGTTTTTTAGGCTTTGCAACTAAGATACGCTGTTTTATTAGGAAGCATCAGTTATTTAAGGCCCAATGATCGAGTTTCGTTAGTCAAAGCTACTGCCTTATCTCAGGATCAAACCAGTGACCTTCTGATAACCAAACAAGCACTATAGTAACTTTAAATGTTTTAGATGCCAATATCGGTTCCTATGAAAATAAGCAAAATGGATTTTTATCGGGTAGTATTTACCTAAAGAATAACTTATTTTGCAGGTCTAAATATGCATTGCATATTTTGAAAAAGAAGATAAACAATTCCATAGTAATATAAATCAGATAATTTATTCAATGGTTTTTATAGTTTTGCTTAAATAAAATTTGTTTTACTAAACAAATTTTAAAACATATTTTGGCAAAGATATTTTCTTCAAAATAAAGCAGTTAATTCATTCCTTAAATAAAAATCTACCGATGAAAATGTTTTTGGGCTAAATATTATTAGAGTTTGTTGAACCGTGCATTATATTTCACCCAGAGAACAAGTTTTGAAAATCCAACATAATTGTAAAAGATAGCCTATTTTGAAAAAAGTAATGATGGTGTGAATACTAACATGTTAAGCCTTTAGGTGGCAAAAGACTTTGGATTTTAAGGAGGTTTATTTCAGGGGTGTTTGAGTTAAGGCTACCTCGCTAAATGTGCCTCAAGTCTGTTCCCTAATATCAACGGGTAGTTACAGAAGAACTCCCAACGGTATAGAATTAATGGATTGTTTTGGCTATGGTAACAAGGGAGACGGTAGATAGATTTTCGTTTATAAATTTCAAACCACTACTGTTTCGAACATAGTAATCTATTTATAACCAGTTAAAAAACAATTCAAGCCAAACCTTTAATATCGTGTGTTCGATAACTTTCTACAATATCGATTCGGCAAGATATCATAACAGTTAAATCTCTTTTAGCAAGTAAATACTCATTAGAAAAAGCAAAAAGTTTAACAAATGAATTTAAGTCTCCACAATGTGTTTAACTCCATTCTTCGATATGTAGACATACATTTAAGGCAATCAATGAGGTATTTTATAATACTGTCTCTAGTATAACACATACTGTTAAAAAATTAACTAAAACACTTCCAGTGAGTGGTCCTATAGTTCCTAAGCCTAAAACGACCAAACACTGTTTAGCTAAAAAAAACTCATGCACATCTTACGATGATATGGCGCAAACTGGTTTGCAAAGATATATTTTCTAATAAAATTGTATTTACATAATATGTTATCTTCTATATATATATATATATATATATATATATATATATATAAGGCAAAGCCCTCACTCACTCACTCACTCACTCATCACTAATTCTCCCACTTCCCATTTAACTAGGAGGGTGAAATTCGGTACACCGATTCTTTGGGCATTAAATGGGAAAACTAAGTAGTTTTTATTCTGAGCGGGCTTTCGGGCTCCGCCCCAGTGGTTTTGGAGTTTCCCATGTTAACCTCATGATTTTCCATATTTAAAAGGAATTAATGAATCTCAACAGTTGTTTCAATTAAACAAGTTGGTTCTGTTCTATGATGTTCAATATCATTAAATAAACAAGGATTACCAACAGGGTGCAGCACTATTATTTTTTTTTATATTTATGACAACAGCTAATTTGCAACCAAAAGGTGAGTGAGCGTAGTGAACGAACTTCGACCTGGAGGCGAGTTAGCGTAGCAAACGAGCTAACCTGAAGGCAAGTGAGCGCAGCGAACGAGCTCCAACCTAAAGGCCATGCGAACGAGCTCATCTGGAAAATGAACGAGCATTTGACATCAAACCACATTAGGACAGGACGAAGTCTGTCAGGCCAGCTAGTTCAACTATAATCCTCAAAAATTATACCACATCTCTGTTTATAAAACTAACTGGTAGTAATTTGTGAATTACAATACGTTCCAGTGGGACCACTGACAGTTAAGCTGATGGGCCAAAACACACCACTGAGTGCGGGGAAGGAGTACGAGCTGGCGTGTCAGAGTGCTGGCTCGCGGCCACCAGCTACCATCACTTGGTGGAAGGGGGGCTCCAGACTCGACGTGCCTACTCGCGTCACTGTGAGTGTCGCTGTCATAACTTACAATCATACTAACCTATGTATTGTCCACATAAGAGGTTGACCTTACCATCCTTACGTAGGACACACGGTTACTGTAAACCTAAAATAGTAATATTGGCGAAGAAATAAAAAAATAACGAATTGCAATTATTATGCTGGATCACAGTCACATGACGTTATTGTTGTTAGCCCAGTAACGATGGCAACTCCAGTATCAGTCGTGTCACGTTTATGGCTGACGTTGACGACCTCGGATCTTCACTGTCCTGTCGTGCTTCCAACCCCAACGTGCCAGCCTCCGCGCTCGAGGACTCATGGACACTTAACATACAATGTAAGTCATAAATACAATCTGGAAATAATATTAATTTTATATTTCATTCACGTATAATAGCTTGTGTAACTCATTTATAATCTCATCATGTTTTTTTTTTCTTTCAAAATAAACCACATAAATAGTCTTTACGTTCTATATTTCAAACATCTTCAGATTAATTTTAACACATTGAAAAAATCTATATTCAATTAGTTTAACTGGATACAGGATAAACTGAATTCCGCTAAAAGCATACAACACTATTTTACTTTAAAAACAGTACTAGCTTTACCAGCTCTGTTAGTAAACAGCTCTTACATTTGGTATAAGGAATTATGTTTTAATATAAAAAAATGCACACGCATCTTGTCGTTTAGTTTGACTCATTCCGTTGCCTTTTGACAATAATTAAATTAATAGTGATTATTATAGACATTTAAAAGTGATGCATCCTATTCTGATTTGCAACTTTACATTTTTTCAGATGTTCCAGTAGTTGGGGTAGAACTTGGAAGCAACATCAATGCCTCCTACATCAGAGAAGGCATGGACGTGTACTTTGAGTGCAGCGTCACTGCCAACCCACTGGCTAGGAGGGTTACCTGGATGCACAATGTATTGTATACCTGCCAACTGTAGCTTTACTTTATACACGTGCTTTTAAATAAAAATATCTGATGGGCTGAGGATAAGTTATAAGGAATCATTGATACACGGTTATAACAACTGTAGACATCAATTTATATATTCTATAAAATACTGTCAATGCTAAACAGTTGGTCATAAACGTCAATATGTGTGCACTATAAGATTTTTTTAAATATGTATTATTTTACTATATTACTTATAAAAGTATTTACTCAGAATTTGACAAACCTTATTTTGATATATGGTAGAATTGGGATGGCAAAAGTATATAGCTCTACAGGAACTCATTAGCTTAATCACCTATGGTGTGACGACTATTTTAACGTTAGTATCTATATGTTTTTTTTTTATTTTCAGTATTACTTACATTTATTGATAAATTACCTATCCAAACTAACTTAAAAGTAAACTGATAATAATACTTTGTAAAGGTTTAAATCAGTTAACTGTGAGGGTTTTGTTTGTGTGAATACAGATTACAAACGATAAAAATGTATGCATATTGTTCGTATCCATTACAATTAATTTATATAGTACTAAAACCAAACATTTTATACTCTCGTAATTTCAAATAATGGTTTAACAAATATTGTGGTGTTACACCAGTGTTAAGTTAATATTAGTCTTTTTGGAATAATTAGATTTGATGGGTCGTAGGTAATAATTAAAATTATAATTTATGTTAAATTAGAAACTGTTTTTATGGGTGACTATGATGTCATTTTTTTGTATTGTTGAAAAAAAAACATGATTTTGCTTGTCATTTTTCTTGTGATTTTGATGTTGTTGATGAATAAGGTCAGTTAATATCCAGTAATATTACAAAATAAAATAGCATTTTAAATATAACAGAAAATAATGCGTATCATCATTTGCTCCGGCATTTTCAATTTGAATTCAATAAAGATTGCTCATAAATACGTTGGCATGACAGTTTAATCACTAGTAAAACCGGTGACCTCATTTCGTAATTAGCCATTAAAACTTTTATTGCACTTTTTACAACGGCACAGCCAAGAGTTTTTCGCTTCACGTGGTGCGAGTGTTTTGTGCAGTAAATAGTTTTAAGTTTTACAACCATAATAAATTTATTGAACATTTTAAATAAAGTAAAACACTTTAGCAGAAATAAAAGTATGCAAAATATTTTTGATGAATTATATTTCTGATTTCGTTTAGGTAAATAAAAAATAAATGAACGCTAAGAACATAAAAATTTTATTTTTATTACGACAACTTATTCGCTTTCAGACTTGTAAAAGTTATGTATAGTTTATTTATTTGATGAAAATTAGATTTAATATGATTTTCGACTTTGACCAAAGTCGGTTATCCATGTTTAGGCTACATCTGTTCTTGGTTATGGATGACCGCACCGAGTATATCAGACCATTATTTTAATCAAATTTTTAAAAATGAAAAGACTAGTTGTTTGTTGTTTACTTTTGGTCTAATATGATTCAAATGAACGATTCAACTGTAAGTATTAACTATTACTGGAAAAAATACCGTAGTGTATATACATTTATCGTTACATATTACTTAAGCCACTTGCTTACTTAACATTACTTAAAATCTGACTAAAATATTTTTGTAGGTTCAATTTTCAAGTTTTTGCCCAGTAATATGTGTAACCTGAATTGTTTCAAGATTTGAAAGCCTCCAATTTGATTTCCTCATACCATGAAAAAGAAAAATATTAAATACCTTTGCTACAATGCTTCTATTATGGTGCAGGGTCGGCCAGTTAGTAACAATGCGTCCGCAGGGACGTTCATCAGCACTAAGACCCTGGTGCTGCAGTCTGTGACTAGAGCCCACACTGGGGCGTACTCTTGTGTAGCCACAAACTCCGAAGGGGACGGCCAGAGTCCTCCATTCCACCTAGATATTAAATGTAGGTTGAACCTGTATTGATATACTTAGCAAACCACTCATGTCATAAAAAATCTCAAAGTAATTCACTACCTATTATAAAGAGAAGGTGCTACACTGCCATTTAGTAGCAAGTTCATATCTACGACCATAAAAACAGGTTCACCCAGTCCATACTAGTTTCAGAATTAAAAAAAATTAAACGGATACAATGTATGCCATTGACAGATGGTTCTGGCATTGGTGCATTATTTTACTACTAACATCTGGTCAGTAAAATATAATAAATAGCATCTAAAACCACTCAGTATCAACCCATTACAAACTAGCCCAATGTGGCTTACCTTTTAGATATTGTCTACTTATCAATGGTTTTTTAAGATCAATGTCATTGCTTACTAAATATAGAACGATGAAAAATCTATATAAAATACACAGAATTAAATTACCTGTTGTAGTTGTTAGACCGTTAGACCTTGGAAAACCATTAACTTATGGTTTCCATTCTTCATTTTATGTTTGACTTAAAATATTAGTAAAATCAAGGCTTTCAGTTATTGATGCTCTAAATATAAAGCCACATGGTAATGTACTGTTACTGCTCAAAGTTCGACAGGAAAAACTTAATCTGGTTTCTATACTTTGCAGTCGGGCCCCAATGTCACACTAGTCAGCAGCGTGTGTACGGTGCAGCGAGGCTAGAGAAGCTTACAATCAACTGTCAGGTGGATGGCAACCCTCAGGTACGATGGTTTCGATGGACCTTCAACAATTCCGCTGTACAAGGTCGTACTATCGACAGTTTCGAGTCCGTCCCGACAGGTGGCAGCAGTGTCGCCTCCTACACCCCCGTGGTGGAGTCGGATTATGGAACTTTGCTGTGTTGGGGCCGTAACGAAATTGGTTCTCAGGCAGTGCCCTGTGTTTTCCATATTGTACCTGCAGGTAATTCACACTCTTTAAAAACCCTCTAATTTACAATTTATTTGATAAACTAATGTCATTTTTCTCGTAGCTTTAATTTAAAAGCAATAATTAAAGCACTAAGCGTAAACGTGATTTGTGAAGACCATTTCAATTAAATATAGTATACTTGTTGCCCAAACCAATGAATACAAACCCTCTAAGAAACAAGCGGGTTGAAATAGTCAGTCAAAATTTGGAAAACGATATCTGTAGTTGTGCTCTCCCACACCAAGAACGCTGTCGGGTTTTTCTTCCCTACGGTAAGTGCGAGCGAGAGGGCAGATTTGAAGTTAGAGAGAGTAGAAGACATCGCGTGACAAAATAACGTGTCACTAGCGCTCATGGTGGAGGAGCACACAACTACGGATATCAGTCACTACATTTTGACTGACTTTAGCTCATCAGACGTGCTTTTCATAGAGGATTTGTATTCGTTGTCCAAATTAATGCCATTTAAGGCTCAAACTAAAAAAAAATCTAACTGAAACTGTTTTATGAATTCCTTAGACAAAGGTTATAACAATATTTTTTTAATAACGCCGTTTCTTTTAAGGAGTAATAAAAAGAGAATAAACACATCATAGTATGTCGTTCGCCAAGACTTTTGCAATATACTTTGAAATTGTTTGGTGATGCGAAGACTTATAGAGCCTCTGTATGCAAATACACTCCAAACAGGTCGAATCGGCAATAAAGCGTCAGCCGTCTCCTATCCTATTATTACATGAAGTAATATTACAATTTTGATTATATACATTTACTGTACTAGCAATAACCCGGCACGCGTTGCTGTGCTGACAACTATTATTTTAAATGGTGATTTGTTCTTTACGATAAGTATACAAAAAAAAAAATTGAATATTTATTTTACTTAATTAGTACCAGTGGATAAACAATGTTTTTTGTTTTTTTTTTCATTACGTGTATAAATATATCAGTATTTAGGCGTACCTAGACAGCTGTCAGTGTGAAATAAATGATGCATTTTCTAAATTTAACTGGCGATAGTCAGGGATTGCTCTGTGCCTTATAATGGCGATTGCGAAAGCAAGACGCAAAGAAAATTTTAGTATCTTGAATTCAATGAGTAATTCGGATGAAATCATCGGTATTCTTGGGATTAAAACTATTTCTCATTTAAACTTACCACTTATGATTTTCGTTTCGGTCAAGTTTTGTGTCATTTTTTAAATCATCAGTCTGGATCAGATGCACAGCTTAGGTGTATTTAAGTATCGCATTAGTATTATTGGAGTTCCTTCTTTTATTGACAGTAATGTAATGGTTTAATGATAAATTTGGAGGGATTTGAATAGGTACGTAATACAGCACGCACGATTATTATTCACTTACAATTCATGTTAGATTGTACGGGTATAGGACAACAGATAAAAATATTAAGGCATTGCCATCCCTTTTATGGTTTATAATAATTTAATAAACGTTTTTGAGTATCTCTTACAATAAGACTATATACATATATTGAGCGTATCACATTTCAGTAATGAAATGATAATTTATTCATTTCGTTGTAGGTAAACCAGACACTCCTTCAAATTGCTCAGTACCCTACAAAGACCACAGAACTCTTAAAGTGAGGTGTGCCAAAGGATTTGATGGTGGGCTACCTCAGCAGTTTGTCGCAGAGGTCCGTGACAACGTCGGGTACCTGGTCCGCAATATAAGTATTCGTGGATTACTGGTGTTCAACGTCACTGAGCTTGAGCCTGGAGTCACATACAACATCACCGTGTATTCCAGCAACGGCAAGGGTCGCAGTCCTGACGTAGTACAGCTGTTAGAAACCACGGAGAAATATGAACACACCATACTTTACCAAAGAGTTTCTGGTAAGTCGCCTGTAACCAAAGATAAACAGTATGACTTGTAGGTTTATAAATAATAATGATGTTTGCTTACGTAAGACTCAATTTCCACGCGAATATCATGTCTTATCAACACAGTGCACTAATTATGTTTTTTCCTTATTATAAATAAACCATAATGAGATACATAATGATTAGTTCAACTATCTATCATCTATATAATAACTATACAGAAAAACGTAACTGCAACATTTCGTTACATCTAAATATGTATGCATATTTTATTAACTAGTTTTTATTGGTAAGATAAAATATATCATTTTTACACAAGTAAACGTTGAAATTAAAACATGAATGAACCATAAGGTGTTGTTTCAGATTATGGAATGGACGATGTTGACCCATTAATGCTGATGGCTATTGGAGCATGCGTTGGCCTTGTCCTAATAGTGCTGATATTTGTGCTGACTCTGCGGCTGAAGCGGAGAAGACATGCTGCCGATCCAAAGCCTGTTGTATATGACAAGGCTACGTCAGCACAAACCTCTGTCACGCTGCCTCCACCTATATCAGAAGACGAGTGCAATCCTGACGTTATTCCTACTGGTTAGTTTTAGTATATTGTTTGTCAAAAATATTTGCGTAGCTCTATTGTTTATCCCAACCGAAACAAAGCTTCATATGTATCCTAAGAAAATCCTGAAGAATAACTATCGTATTTATATTTTTTAACATCAGAAACACTATTTCACTTCACTTTCAAATTTAATTAAATATTTTTATTTTAATAAGCATTGAAAACACATAAAAACAACAAAATAGAAATATAACTTTTATTTTAGTTGACCTTTCGTATTATCCAACTGAAATAAAAACATATGTGCATGACATAAAAGCGTGTTCAATACTTTTTTCTGTCAAAATATCCCCAAGTGAATATATTTTCAGAAGAAAACATTGCGAGTGACATATGTTGCTTTTTGTTAACAGAGGTGGAGGAGATTGAGGTGGGAGTAGAGCTGTCCCCTGTACCCCCATGGGACACATCTCATGTCACTAGTCCTTGCACTGCTGCTTTGCCTCCACTCACCTACACCCACGTGGTATATATAATATCTTAATACCAATATTATTTATATTTGTCTTTTACAACGCATTTGGATCTTTTAACCTATTCTTAGATAATTATGCATTTTCGACCCAAAAGTATTATACATCCGATATAAATTTATTTTTTTCCGTCCAAGAGTAGGTATTCATTAACAATTTTTAAATATTTTCTCATGCTCTAATTAAATTGGCTCATTATGTTACTCAATTCATTATGTTCATTATGTTAACAATCAATATTGTATTGATTGTTACACTTTGTATCCTGTAAGCCTTGTAACTTAAGCCTTGTATATGTATATAAAATTTAAAAACTTGGCACAAGCTCAAACAATGACATTTAATAACCATTAGTTGCAGATAATTATCACTCGTAATTACTTGCTACCATAATTTAAAATCAAATGTGTTTGTTAAATTTAATAATAACCAACCTATGACCTAAACATCATTATTACAAAGCCTACGGTTGTATTATAGAGATGTTTACATGTTTTCTATATCTCTTAGATAACGGACGTGCCGGTGAGATGGCATAAAGGTTGGCCCAGCAGCGAGACTGTCACCCCGTGTCTCAGGAATGCTGAAACCCAGACAGCCCTCAGACACAAGGAGAGCACCGTCTAGCCCCCGGCCAGTGTAAGTAGAAAATGCCGACAGACTGCCTATATACCGAGTGTCTGACGAATAAGGTTTAGTCTATTCTAAACCCAAGTACTAGGTGTTATGAAATGTCACACTTCAACGTCAAAGCCATTACAAACATTTATGTAAGACTCCCCCAAGTACCACTTGACGATCAATCAGAACGAAATGGCGTGATTTCAAAATAATTTTGTGTTTTAAAAAGTAATCATATTTAAAAAATATTTTCAATTTTTTTTGTCAGTGTTAATTACATTAAATTTACACATTGTTAATTAAATGAATATTAAAAGACAAAGAGTTAAGAAAGTAGTAAAACACTAATATTAATATTAAAGTAGAGACACTCATTTTTACTTCGATATTGTATTTGGGTCCTTGAACTTTGTATGATTGTTAACATTCTCACCGCATCCATCATTGTCTACAAATTAAAGTGATAACTAATCAAATTCAAATAATTCTTTTCCAGGTAAGGAGGTGCTTAAGGGTTATTAAAATTAAAAGCTCGAGATTCGTATATTCAGGCTAAGAGTTGTTCAAGGTAAGAATATTTACTTGATCCATAGTTCAACAAATGTATATAAAATAAAATAAAATTAAATTTATTCATTTAATACTTTTGGGTGGCTATATATATTTTTTATTTTGAAGGTTATAACAAGTTAAATATCAAATATTTTATCTCAATTTACATGTGGCACTCAAACCTCTAACCTGAATACTTAGAAAATAAAATTGCAAATTAAAACCATTATTGTGATTGAAATTTTAAAAAGTTATTTTGTCAGGGTCAGTAATACATAAAATGTTTGTTTAAAATATTTCGGCTATCTAATCTTCGAGATAAAACATTTGTTCAAGATTTTCTGATAGCTTGATGTTTTAATATTTTGGCAATATGACCTATTATTGAAATTCTTTTATGTCAATTATGTAAACTAATTTTTTCAGTACCATATAACTTTAGTGACATTTCTATATAATTTATTCTATCAATAATTCTTCTGTTGATAGTTTAAAATTTACAACATTGAAGTCTCGTAAACAAATTTCATTTTATGATGATAGATTCAGTTTGACGACGATATTCCCACAAAAATATTTTCCTAGAAGTCTTACATTTAAAAAACAAAAATGTTTTCCTAGAAATTTACAAATACGAGTAGTTTAAATTGTAAGTAAATATCTAAAAAATGGGTTATACTATCCTTAAAATTAAAAAGTGTTTCCACATTTTCATACTTAATTGAAGACAATTTTAAATTGATATTACAGTTTAAATTTATTTATATACTTATGACGTTTGTACTATTTTCAGTGCCTTAAACGTCTAAGTGAAGATGTCAGTATGCAGAGGAATTTAGTATAGTTTAATTTTATATTGGAGTTAAAAGGACTTTTCAATTAGAAAGTAGGTTTATTAACATATTCAACAACGTACTCGCATATTTTCCTTTTTTAGTCTTTTAGACGTGTTTTACTTAGCTAATTCTGGTATATTCGGTACAATCCATTTCAGCTGGAAATAAAGGCAATGTCATCAGTCCAATATCCACATTAACGATCATAAGTGATGGTGTTCTGGTCTACATTGCTTTTGTAATCACGTTTCTTGTACATGTTAACGATTTTTACATTTATCATTTGGTTTCTAACATTTTTATAATAAAACCACACTTTATATTAAGTTCTTGAATACTAATGATTTTTTTGATGCTATATAAAAACAAATAAACTATTGGGTTCTTTGCAAATTATTTATGACAAACTGGGAATTTTCTGTCAGCATTTAGATTTTCCTAGTAAAAAATACCAAAAAATATTTTAAAATTTAAAAATAATAATATTTTAATGCAACCATTTGCTTAATATGATAATTATGGGTTTGATAAAAAATATCTGGTTATAAGGTTGTTCCAAATAAACAAAATAAGACCAAAGCTGTGTTTACTTTACATTTCAAACATCTATCTAAAAATATTGATTACTGAGGTCAATAATAGTATTTAGAGGTTTTAGTAACCAAACCATTGTTTAAATATATATTTGTTAATATAGCAAAGAAAAAAAATTAAGGATCAGAATATTTTTTTTTATATGAGCTAGCTATTGGAATTCATTTAAGTCAAAATATAATTTCAAATCAACATTTAATTATATACTATAATATGTAATACGTGATTCATACAAGAAAGGTTTTCGTGTTTTAAAGGCTAGTTCTTAGCCTCTAAAGCCACTTTAAAAATGTATTTTCTTTTGATTTAACTCCAAAGATACAGTTTTGATCAATTTCAATTTATTTGTACCTCATAGCATAAAATACTGAACTCTTTTACACAAATTACAAAAAACTTTTAACTACCTTATAAGAACTTGGTTCTCAATTGAATTAGTAGGTCTAAATATACGTATGTGTTATTTGTAAAAGTATTGTTACGATACTTACACAAATATTTATAATTCCAGTTTATTTCTTTTAACACTGGTAAATAAATTGTGTCTCTGCCAAAAATTCATATGGTTAAATATTGTATATTTCTACTGTGTACATAAATAAAATATATACCTCAGTTTATATTAAACAGAGATGTGAGTGTTTATTTGATCAATCCTTTAAACTATCTTTTGATAGTAGTTCATGCACACAAGGTAAGTAATCCATCGAACATTACATTCAACATACGTAACCAAATTGCATCAAACCTTGTACGTTTACCAGGGTATATGTAACGCTATATATAACAGGAATTAGGTGGTGCATATCTTGGTCACTAAGAGGATTTTACTAAGCACATGGAATTCGGAGTATAATGCATTGAATTTTGTTCAAGATAGTATTATGTTTTAGTAAAATACGACTAAGTCAACGCAGCCTATGCCATTTCAGAAGTAAATAATTTTACCACGTGCGTTAAAATATTTTTGAACAACCAACATATATCACCACAGGACCAGGTAACCAAGAGGGGAGGAAAATTTAAATGTTCATGAACGACAATGTAAATGTAGCATTTGTGATGACTAGAGAGGCAGCAAATATAATAACCACGATTGTTGTAATGTCTACTTTTAAAATATTAAACACACATTTATTTGTATTTCTTATAGCATAAACCAGCATTAAACTATATCTTACTTTCTTACATTTTAAATTTGTTGAGAAAATTGCAGTTACATTTAGTGAGATTTTTTTATGTAAGGTTATGGCAATGCCGTAAAACGAGTTGGTGAAGATTGTGGCGCTAGTTATGAAACTAAGTTTATCTTTACTGTTCAAGAAAATAGCTGTTTAGGAGTTAGTAGACGATGAATATATCCCATCGAGATTTTCTTTCTTGAGTCAAGTTTTGAAATTAATATTAAAATATATTAATAAATTAAAAACATTAAATATATATTAATATTAAATAATTCAAGTTTTGTTTGCGTTTCCTTACTTTATTAAATTATAACCGCTCATTAAACCTTGTTAAACACTTTTATATTAATTTGTTATAAAAATTTACCATCCTAAAACACCAACATGGTTAATAATATATACACAGTATATGTATTTGCAATATTATGTTATGTGGATTAAAAGCTCAAGTATTCAATATTCAAGATAACTTTAAAAAATGCATACCTATAGAAATAAGCAAGTCGCGGTGTACATGCTTTTATATCACTCTTCGTATTTTTAGAGGTAAAGTATAAACAAAGATTATCTCCCAACGTGGCTCATAAATCATCGTGACTCGTCAGGTATTTAATACAAATTAATAATAAAGATATTTTCTCTCATTGTTGAAAATTATATTAATACTCAAAGCTGATTCTAATTCCATAATGTATGTGACATTTTGCAATTCATACAGATACATTTCTGTTCTAACCTTTCCTGTATTTGAATAATATTCTTAATTGTCCTTGCTTGGTCGCGCAGTATCTACAAACACACTTTTTGTTCTGTAGTGTTTTTGAATCAATTAAAAAAATTAAAAATGCAATAAAAACAACAGAATGCTATATTTTCACATAATACTAGTTTATGCAACAACGACCCATTGTTTGATAAAGGATTTTACAATGTTTTGTTCAAATCGGCGTTAATGGCTTACAAACAAATCCTATTCTTGTTATAGTAATACTAGATGAAACCCGTCGAAATCGACGGTTATTTTCAAGGCTTACGCTAACTCATCTAACTGCGATAAACTGAGTGAAATTATACATATTTTGAGCATTTAGCATTGTTTTAAGATTAATAAGTGTAAAAACAATAATGATATTAATTGCGTTAGTTACCAAATATGGTTGATCATTCAATGAATATAGAAGTTTACGCAACGATTGTGTAAAGATAGTGTTAACGACACGAGTAGAAAATTTAAGGTACGAGCCTTGGCGAGTGCCTTAAAAACTTCTACGAGTATCGTTGACACTATTTACGCGAGTTGCGTACACTACTTTACCTACGGCATTGTTTTAATTACTATCAATCACTACTCATAACTTATAAGAGTGGTCATGTTTTCGTTTATAACCTCTCATTACCATTGACAGTGATACACCGAAACATTGAACCAAACACTAATTTATTGCACCACTCAATAATTAAATTGGCCTGAACAGCTGATTAGTTGAAGTTCGAATCATTACAATTTTACTTCTTCTCTTTTAATCCTTGAAACTCATTAATCAGTTTGCCATGTTGTTATGAGTAAAACTATGCTTATAAGAAAGTAATCAATGCTGTTATGTGAAACTTTTCAATTCTAAGAACTGAACTGAAACGGATACTTTCGTAAAAACCAATCGTAGGTTTTATATACTCTATAATAGTTATCGTAATATACTGGGCCATAAAATAATTTAATGTGGTTAATACTACCAAAACTCCTATCGATATTAAATAAGCTATGTCCATAATTTTAAAAGAAACTTATGTATACTGTCCACCGTTAAGTATATCTGTACTATTTTACTGCAATAACTCTTACGTGCATAGTATAAAATAAAAATGCTTACTTCTCCATAATTTTGTGAAATACATTATTGTCGGTTATCGAATTTCCAATTTTATTGTTTTTTTAGTGGTAAACTTGGGTTGCAATCTTAACTAACGTTCAAATATAGCTAGAACAAGTGTACTGAATGAATGAAAGCGTGATTGTTACACTATTGATGTGTTTTTTAATACATAATTGAATACTATGTAATTCGATTTCTCAGTTTTAACAATACTCGTATATTTTAGTTTCAATGTTTATAAATACGTCTTTCAAGTAAACTTGCTGCAATCTTATAAACAACTAAACAACCAAATAAAAATATTAGCTCTGTATGTCAAAATGATTGTTGAAAACAAGACAAATTATATCGCTATCTGTTAAAGGAAAAGGAATATACCAGTCCTTTCGAATCAGTGTTATGTTCTAAGTACTTTTTAATATTGAAAGCAGTAGTTAAGGAGTTTGGGACTGTAGCGCCCGATCTTGTGGTTACTTACTTCGCTCTTGCTCGTCAACTAGACTACTTGGTAAACTATTCGTTTGAAAACTCATACCCTTAGTTTTAAAACCTGCAAGACATTGCCATAATCTATGATCAGGAGATTACAGTTTGCAATTTGAGCTAATAGCAAAATGTTATAACATTAATCATTAAATTCATTCAACATGATCTTGATCTAGCAAAGAGGAATTACCCATTTTAATTGTTAAGATTTTACAAATAAATTTTATGCTATAAATAGTGATCCACTAATATAATTTCATTGACATCCCTAAGTGTGAGTATGCTCTTGATTTATTATTTGTTATCCATAGTTTCCTTACCAGCGTTTATTATCTTTTGTACATTATATTTTTAGACTCCACTGTGGTCACGTTATTACTATGTTAGGATTAAATTACAATTATTGTTTGAAAACATCGAATGCTTTGCTTGTGAATATTATTATTGATTATTCCTTTTCGTGACCAATGAAAACGTTTTGGATCGTATGCTGATAAAAATTAATTATCTGTACGTCTGTAACTTTTCGAAAACATTTAACCAAGAAGTTATATAAGCTTTTCAACATAAACAATTAATCATTGATATTTTTGTTATCTTTTAAATTATCTTTGGTAATTTATTCTAAAAGTTGAAATCATTACTTCATAAGTCTATTGATATGTAATAGTAATTCCAAGCTTAATAAATTAAAAATAAAATACTTCTCTTCAAACCTACAATAATCACACACATTTAACATCATATGGTCACACATTTTTATATGGAAATGCGACTCACCATTGCACGGCACATATCATAAGAAAATCATCATACAATAGAAAAATCCATCTTGTTGCAACTAATCAAGTGCCAGTTTACAAACATTGCAACTCATGTAAATTTCTCTCGGATACACGAAGCTACTCACGTAACTAGATTGAACGTCAAAGAGAGCGACAAATGTTTCAACGTAATTGTTCTCACCAGCGTGAAAAATGTTCTCGGTCCTGTCACTCCACTCTTGTCTAATTCTATCTGGCTCGGCAAAAACACTAATTTGACGCAATAACTTTCTTTGCCTGTCATAAAACGAATTTCATTTTATTATAACTTTGCCAGTATTAAAGTTATTTTGAATAAGTAAAGTAATAATTACAATTTAAAAAAAATGTTTTTATTATAGCCTACATTGTGTTAGAGAATCATGGAATTAACGACGCATCATAAAACAACGTTAATCGTAAGTTAATATACTATTTATGTAAATGCCCGGACAGGAAACGGATGGAGGCTGAGGCCAAAAAAAAATCAAGGGGAAGCTGTCCAGGTAAGCCATTCGTGGCAAAGACGTCAGGATAAGCAGCTGCCATAGATTATTTTTATAGATTGTTATTAAAGATCGCTATTATTGATTGTTTTTACATTGTATCACCACAGAGAAGATTGATTATTTATATTGTTTTTAGATTGTTTGATGGATTGTTTTTATTTATAGTTTAGGTAGGTTAATGACAAGAGTTGTTTTGTAAAGCAGAATTGTAAATATCTGAAAAACGCTTGCTGAATAAAGACCATTTATTATTATTATTATTACTATTATAAAGGAAAGAACAGGTTATCATAGTGAAAAGTTTCTCGTGGTTCACAAAGGACCTGGGATTTGACGGAGAATGAGGACCTGTGAATGAGGGTGCACAATAAGCTGTTCCAGCTAAGATGCAATCCCATGGTCACTTGTAAGCCTGGCCCTCTGTTAATATTTGTATTTAAAATATACAAAATATTTAAAATTTTGACAGGATAAAAACTACAATATGTATATTGTCATTATTTGTGTCATTTCAGGAGAAAAATATGATATATTTACAAATATAAATTTATTAAATGCACCATAGTAACATAATTTATCATCAAAACTAATTTAAATTGCCGAAATATTTATTTCGCGTAGATTAATTGAAAACAAATT